CAATTACGATGTCATTTGAGTTAAAATTACTGTTTCAACGTTGACTGATGATTTTATGGACGGAATGCGTGAAATGGACCAACGCTGTAATTATATATAAAGGTTTGGGACTTCGGCCGCAAAAATTAAAGGTTTGGGTGTAATCTGCAACAAAACAAAAGGTTTGGGACCAGCGCTGCAATTTTTTCGAGTCAAAATTACTATTGAAACGTTGACTGACAATTTTATGGACGAAATTAAAGGCTTGGGACCGACGCTGCAACTACATATAAATGTTTGGAACTTCGACCGCAAAAATAAAAGGTTTGGGTGTAATCTGCAACAAAATGAAAGGTTTGATTGGGACCATAGCCGCAATTTTCCCTAAAATTTATATTTATTTACTACAGCAAATTACAATGAAATCCATTAAATAGTACAATAAGGCCAGTTGTACACATATGACTGACAATCATATATTGTCAAAATTCAAGCATTTGATGTAAAAAAATAATTTTTAACAATTTTTAAAATAAAAAAAAAATGATACTATTAACTAGGATGGGATTGTGATTTGAATGACTCGAGATCCGATACATTGTTAAAATAAATTGAAGAAGTCATATTCATGGCAAAATCAAAATGAAAGGCTCTACGCCATTCATTGATGTCCTTTTAGTAAGGTATGCTAACAATTCTTGTGAAAAGGATTAAAAACAAACAAATTGTGGTCCAAAATTTTTTTCTATATATAAAGTCAAATAAAAGGTGCATGAAACACATGCACGACTATCTTTTACATTTACGGATGAAATTAATGCACTTTTTGAAATGTGATGTTCTTGTTAAGCACATAAAAGCATGCCTAGAGTAAATTAGCATAAGATGCGTTTAAATTGTAGCTAAGAATCAATGGTCGTAGATAGTATTATTCAATTTTCAATGCCTAACACATATGTTTAGACCTAGTTTCGGGCCGAGGCGAGTCGCGAGTGAGGACTGGCCTCGGCCCAAAATTAAAGGGAGCCTCACAGTGCCCTTTCACTATTTTTTTCTATTTTAGAAGTCAGTCCATGGATCATTAAATCCATTATCCACTAAACAATTCTTCACCCAATTCCTCCTCCGCATTTTTTATTGTACGAGATTATGAGAGACAAAAATTTTCTAGGGCATGAAATTTGTAATCTAGTACTAAAATTTCCCAAACCTTCCTCTCAAATTTAACCTTCATGGTCCGACCGGCAACGCTTAAACCTTCACGGT